TTACAGTTAGTGTTTTGCTGCAATATTTTAGTGATGTTTTGCACATAACACAATATGTAAAATGTTTCCATTACAAACACGTATTGAAAAGTGTTCCCATCAGTTACATTAGAACATGATTATGTTTTCTATCAAAGACTAATTAAAATCAAGGGGCCATTTCATAACGGGTATAACTTTTTTTTTCATCCAATAAAATATTGTCTGAAGCAGTTATGTGAGTGTATCTGATTTTCCCATGAAATCCTCTCAAAAACGCTGGAAATGCCATTTCAGAAAGTTCATTTTTTTAAATTTCCAGGGGTAACATGCCCCGAGACCCCTGGGAACCATATTCCCTTAGCGATGGTACATGGGACATACTCAATTCCAAGGTAGAATTGCGATGAACTGCAGATCATTCTGTCTGATAGATGAGCTGCGTATGCTTTGTAGGCACGAACTGGGCAAATGTCCGGGGTTTTGGTGTAGCAAACGCCTGGAACATAGGACTTCGCAAGGCTTCTAGTATTTCTCGGCTGCCCGTGACGAGTTTTAGTGAGTCTCTCATTATATACTAGACACTCGCCATTTTCGTCACTCTGTAGGACTACATCGCCCCATTGCATCTGACGGTGTTCGCTGTTTCCACGCAATCCTAAAAGCTTCGTTTTGATATACCACACAGACTAAGTTTTGATGATGCCTGTTGCGGAGTCTAAACAAAATTGCCCAGCTTTCAGTAACGCCTTCTCTTGATCTTTCGTAGTTAGTTGTGATTTGTTAGGCAAATTACCAAATCCAGCAGCCTTCAGATGTTTCCTTTTAGCGGCCAATGTGCGGCGACTTGGATAAAATGCATCGTCGCGAATGATGCTTACCCCTTAATTATTGTCACGCAAATGTCGGTCGATCGATTTTTGATACGATGATATGGAATCCGGCTCGCCGTTTTTTAGGAATACCAATATAAACGTGCTACAGCAAAGCATCTAGCTGGGGTGGTGGTATATGCTTCAGGTCACGCTTTTTCTTGTGTCACAGAAAACTTGTGAGGCTCCATAGCAATCGCTGATTGCTCTTCGGGTGGATCTTCCGAGAGCCTTTCAGGGTAACATACACTAAGTTCCACCAATTCTAGTATTCCGTGTGCCGTACACCTAATATGCCAAAAAGTATCAATATTGTTGTTCAGTTCAAATTTCATTTCACTCGGCAAGTATATTCATGTATCCTCAAAAAATATCTTACTTCCAAATATTGTTTATTTCTGTCATGTTTCGAAAAACGATACTCCTGAATGAACTACTTTGTTTGCTCTCAGACATCATTTGCATATGGGTTTGGAAATACCGATTTTGATTTCAGAGACGAATCAAAATAAACTGCAGTACATATGTAATAATGAATATTTACGAGTTCCCAGACTTCGCACTAAAATGTGTTAATAGTGCTTGCCTAAATTTGCATGCATTAGTTCATAAGTCCTATCAATAAATGACAAATTTATGTCCCCGTAAAAAAGTGTTTAATTTTGAAAACAAGTGTATTGTTTGTGTGTTTACAATGTGCTTCATTTTCTGCAAACTGGGTTTTAATAGTTCCCAAAAACACTTTTCTAAAAATACTAAAACATTACTGTTTTGTTAGAAAATACAGGTGTGTTATCATATATATCACATGTTTTTTTTTATTACACGGTGTGCGTTCAGGTGTGTATTGATAAAAACAAACATGAAAGTGCTTCCAAGATTTACAGTGTAGTTTGTTTTTCAATATACGGATAGTGAAGTTGCTGCACTAATTTCAAAATGGTAATAAAATCTGTTTTTAACAACGTATTGACGTCAGGTAAAATGCAGATTATTGGTAATTTCATATTTGACAGCGTGCTTTATTGATTATGTATAATATATGCAAATTTAGTCATAACATTGCGGGTATTTGAACTAATTCGCCAGTGCATGGTTATATTCAACGACTCGATACTTGTTAGCGTATAAACGCCCCTATAATATTTGACAAAATACTTAATAAGTTCTAGCGCTACAATGATCAGAACTTGCGCACATAATTATACATCATAAAGGTCTGAGGTATATTCACTGTATTTGCATATCGAGTCACGTGTTCAAACACGCGCAACCACTTGTTAAAGGTATGCATAGTCAGGAGCTCAAGACATGTATAACTAATGGTTCACAAGGAGTATCTAGTCAGAGGTATAATTCATGACCAGCCACTTGTTCAACGCGTTCACAGTCCCGGCTACAAGCGTCCATATACACTATCAAAGCGTTGATGCTCTGTCACCGATTCCGAGCGTGCTTATTCATTGGGTTCAATGCATGTAGAGTCAACGAATCATGGCGTGCCAATTGATCTGCCCTGTTACATGTTCTAGGATACCCAGTCACCGTTCCAAGGCATCTTATCTATTGAGTTAAATTATATTCAAAGTGAAACTGTATTACATTCTTAACATTACTTATTATTTTAGCAGAGAAATGTTGTGTGCGAGAGAATACTTTCTGCGTCATGTTTCTAAAAATGAGTAAATCCTGCTGGTATATACAGCCGTAATATTACTGTGTGTGAAAAATATTCACTGGAATAGCAGTATCATTGTTTTTTAAATCGTCAAACAAGTTATTTTCTACTTTTGTTTTTTGTCTGTTTCTCGCAAATAAAGTCGTATTAATTAATTAAATCATCTAACGCCAATTATCGTAGCATACAATAGAGGTTTTTAGACAATAAATAAATAAATAATATTATTAAATTTAAATAATATTAAACTGAATATTTCATTTTCAACTCGTAATTACATTTGATGCCATTCTAATGTTGTCAATAAATAACTCTTTCAATAAATATTCAAATAAATAAAGTGACATTTTCCTTCCTGAATATAGCATGACTAAAACAACAAAGGCTTAGAATATTTGTTGTTCAATTTAAATTTGTGTGTGTTTACCAAATATGTTGGCGGTTTTGACATCCGGGAAGCCACCTCTTCTGAACACATAATTATAACAAATATCGCTAATATAAATTTATAAAATTACAACGCTTAGGTTTAAATGTACTATAATTTTTATCATATATTTAAAATATTTCTACTGATGTACAATATAATGGTTGCATTTTATTCTAATATTTTATGCAGGATCGATTCATTCATGACTTTCTTGATTGGTATTATTCAGAAAAAACAATTGCAGTGATTAACGTTCTTGGTCTATGTTGTGTTGTTTTGCGTTGTGTGTTCGATTTAGGGTTGATTATATCTGCAATTGAGAATTAATCGGCTTAATACATAAATATAAATATATATAAATATTAAGCTGTTTAGTTTTCTGGCAAACTAGCATTCCACTGTATACGTAGCATTTTCGCCATATGGAGTAATTTCATCAGTGCATATATATTAGCTGTTACGTTTTAAAATAACGTCATTATTGTATATTCTATCAAATCGAGTATTGCAGTATTAGCGGTACACTGGGAGAGTGTGTTATCACTGAATAATGCAACATGGCTGCAACAACAGAAGAGCCGCCGGAATTGACGGAATTGATTCATGATATCGGAGAACGCGCTCAAAAAACGTAAGTAGCATCTTTGAAAAGTCATTAAACCATACTACATATTCAGTAAAACATATTTGTCCATTATAACGCCTTGAAATATACTGAATTATGGATGAACTTGTGTGGATTGGCAAATAGAGAAAACATTTAAGCTTATGCCCATACGCTACTCTACACAAACCCTCCATTTTCAACATGCAATGGTCATTTTTTTGTGTATTTAAATAATGACGTAAACATCAACTATTGCTATTGTTATGTCGTTCTGCACGTTATGGATAAGTTTGAAAGAGTGCGTTACGTGGTTTCGGTCTTTGAGTATTTTATTCATCTATTTTAGCCCTCAAACATGTCTTCGATTGTCTAAATAAATAAATAAATAAATAAATAAATAAATAAATAAATAAATAAATAAATAAATAAATAAATAAATAAATAAATAAATAAATTATTTTCCGTTATTTTTCGCATGAACAAACAATCTTTTTTTCGGACGCTCAAATCAACTACGACACTGTATAACTAAAATAGTAGCATGTTGGTAACTATCCTGGTTGACGAATCATTTCATGTGCGTTGTCATGCATAACCGACGTCAAATGAACACTGAATTGTGGGTAACTGGAATTGTTGATCCCTAAACCACAATTTAGTGTATGCAAAATATTTTTAAATTTCTGAATGCAGTTTTACACAAATAGAAGTTATATTCTCGGATTATATTCATCTAATTAAGATGTTCAACAGTTGATTGGATATAGGTAATGAACATTTTCATATTCCGAAAAGTCACTTTCATCTGAAAATAATGCTATACTCGAATTTCTTCATTTTAAAATAATGAACAAGCCCACAACCTGTATTGCACATATTAAAACGATGCGATTTGCACGAAACTATACATATGTATTGCACATGAGTGCTGCTTTCATCTGCATTGATATGCAAATTAGTAAACCTTAACGGTTACATTAATAATTAGTAAACCACATAGCTATTTGATTACTAGAGGTTACTACAAACGACTGTAGTTCATTTAAATGTTTTTTCATTACTTGTCCTGTGCTTTGGTAAGCATACATACAGTATGTGTTATAATTGTTTCACACATTCATGTGTAAATTGTGATGTGTTACAATAGTAGAAGCATCTCCGTATATGAAACCACTCCTTCAAGCGCGAGTTGATAAGGATCAAGCAAGCTATGATTTGATATCATTGTGGTCTGCCAGCTGATGACGACAGAAGACCAAAGATCATTCAAATACGTGGCTACGGTGTCATCACAAATAATATTCTGAATTTAACTATACTTATTTTTTTCAGCGCTGATGACATGATACGACTCACTGTCCAGCCAAATACATGGCTATGATGTCATTTTTAAAATATTTGTTTTTCAGTTCAGATGACGTACAAGACGCTATTGATTATGTTAGTGACATTAAGGAAAAATTGGTGAGTACCAAATACCATAGAAATAATGATATTTTATATTATTATACATATGTCGCCGTAACGCCATAAGTTACGGCATGCCGTAATTTGCGGTATTTTAAGGGGTATTTTAATCCTACCATATTAGGAAATGCGAATTCCGAATATGGAATGTTTACGTGCGTAAGCGTCCTCTAATAATAAAAATACATGGCTGCCACCCAAAACATGTATAATACATATATAATGTATAATAATAAGGTTATTACAAGGATACCTCAAAGTGTGCACTGTGCGTCGGTCAATTCTCCCGCTGTACTGCCTTCGTGCATACTGTGAGGTATCCTTGAAATAACCTCATATTATTTTATTTTACATAAATATAATGAAAAGAAAATAGTAATCCCAATATACTATGATAAATCGCAATATACTACTAATATGTTTATATACACTAAACATGTGACATTTCATTCTGTCTTTACTAAAGCAAGAACTGTGCTGTAAAAATAATTCATCACAAAGTGGATCTGGAACAGGAGCTGGGGCAGGAGCAGGTGCAGGTGCTGCAGTTGGTACAATTGTTGGTGTTGCTGTTGCTGCAGTTATTATTGTATCTGTTATTATTACATTATCTGTACTACTTACTATGCCAAGTGGGAACAGCTCAACAAGTAATTACGTCATATTATTAGATGTATGTTAGGTGTATTTAGTGAATTGCACATTGCCACCAACAAATTTACTCTAAATAATGTCCTTTAATAAGATAATTCACTTTGTTAAAAAAAACAATACAAGAATACGATTATTCCTATTTTGTAAAACAAAGTGATTATGTGTGAAAAGAAGAATACACGTGTATTTGGATATGTCTACGTAAGATAGAATAGGGACAAAGTGTGCATGTGGATATGTGTATATAAGATAGAATAGGGACAATGTGTGTATGTGGATATGTCTATGTAAGATAGAATAGGAACAAAGTGTGTATGTAGATATGTGAATGTAAGATAGAATAGGGACAAAGTGTGTATGTGGATATGTGTATGTTAGATAGAATAGGGGCAAGGTGTGTATGTGGATACGTGTATGTAAGATAGAATAGGGACAAAGTGTGTATGTGGATATGTGTATGTAAGATAGAATAGGGACAAAGTGTGTATGTGGATATGTGTATGTACAATAGAATAGGAACAAAGTGTGTATGTGGATATGTGTATGTAAGATAGAATAGGGACAAAGTGTGCATGTGGATATGAGTATATAAGATAGACTAGGGACAAAGTGTGTATGTGGATATGTCTATGTAAGATAGAATAGAAACAAAGTGTGTATGTGGATATGTCTTTGTATGATAGAATAGGGACAAAGTGTGTATGTGGATATGTCTATGTAAGATAGAATAGGAACAAATTGTGTATGTGGATATGTTTATATAAGATAAAAAAGGGACACTGTGTATGTGGACATGTGTATGTGAGATAGAATAGGAACAAAGTGTGTATGTGGATATGTATATGTAAGATAGAATAGGGACAAAGTGTGTATGTGGATATGTGTATGTAAGATAGAATAGGGACAAAGAGTGTATGTGGATTTGTCTTTGTATGATATAATAGGAACAAAGTGTGCATGTGTATATGTGTATGTAAGATAGAATAGGACCAAAGTGTGTATGTGGATATGTCTATGTAAGATAGAATAGGACAAAGTGTGTATGTGGATATGTGTATATAAGATAGAATAGGGACAAAGTGTGTATGTGGTGA